CGTCCAATGAGGAGATGGCGAGTCAGGATCGTCAACTTCATCTTTGCGACACGGACTAAGAAAACACTAATTTATTAATAAATAATTCAAATATCTCCTTACTATTTCCCCCCCGACACATTCATGGTAATTACTTTTGCTGGGGCTTTGCGGCACGCTTTAGCCTATTGCGTGCGTTTTTTGCTGTCATGTGCAAAGGTATGTTTGCAGGTTCTGCACTGCACATGACCAATTGACTCACTGTTTGCCTTGGTAATCAAATCAAAACTCTTCCAAAATGCAGCTTTTCCCGAAGCATTGGGAACGTTTAGTAACTCCCCACGCTCCAACTTCTCCCTCATGCTCTGCATGGTCAACTGTCTAACTTGTATGCTAATGCCTGCGTATTGCATACGCGATGTAGGCTATAATATTTATAATATAATCAATTTAGCCTAACAATAGTTCATACAGTAGCCTATGTGTGCTGTCTGGGGTGCCGTCTGTCGAGAGCAGGGGTGCCGTGTAAAAATCCTTTTGTAATATTTTTAAATTGCTAAAATGTTCAAAAAAGCATCTATTATATAATATCCATTTCTGATGTCGCCAATAATTAGAGATGCACCGAAATTTTGGCTGCCGAAAATTAGTTCACCGCTCAGGTTTCACTTTCACGTGGTGTGACGCTCTGCGTGTTATCCCGCTGTATGCGTGTGTGTGTATTATCCCGCTCTATGCGTGTGTGCTCCGCGCAGTCGCTCCACTCATATACCGTTCATGCTCATCGGAACAGCAAAGTCCACTCAAAAATCAAGCTGACAGGAAACATCGATGTAGTACAGTATTGTTTCTGTCTGCAATAGCCCTACTGTGCTGTAACAATGTAGGCTTTTATACATATGTAAACATTATTTAATTACCATTATAACTAGCTATCTCACAATGTTTACATATGAATAAGAGCCTACATTAAAATCTGTCATATAAATAGGTCTTTTCATTAGAATAAGATTCTAATTAAGATGCTAATTAGATTAGCGATTGCCACCATTGATGGACAACTTTTTTTAATAATATTAAAAATATCTGTATGGCATTATATTCTGCAGTTCTTCCCTGTTGTACTGAATATCTATACTTTTCAAATTATCATATCAAAGTTAGAAATTCAAATATTGTGACAAAATTAATTTTGTAGGGTGCCACAAGTTTGTTAAAATTTCCAAAGGGTGCCGCGACTAAAAAAAGGTTGGGAAACACTGTTTTAGTAGGCTATAAATATGTGGCTATGTTACGGCTCCCCTTTGAAGCTCTTGTGTTTTCCTCCTTTTCCATCTCTCCAATCCTATTCTGCACACAGGTGATTGGAGACGAGTTTTGTTCCCACTTTTGTTGCAGTTTGCCGATTTTTGTAAAATCGCTTTTTTTTTTTTCCAGATAAAAGAGTGGTTTCAGTTTAATATGTTGCAGGCTCATTTATTGGTAATAAATAATTGATAAATAATATTAATGATAATAAATAATCAAAAAAATATTGGGCTTTTTTTTAAAGCTGCGGTTGCTTATTTGTCTCGTGAGAGTTGGCAACAGTGCTCCATAGTGTGTTCACGTTTTTCCAAACAGCAATAATTTACTCAATCACAATTGTTTGGTTTCACTCTTTAAAAGTGAAGGCTTAACTCAGGAGACGGCACAACTGCTTGTAAGGTAAAGAGAATTCTATCTTGACCTGGTTTGCTCATGCAGATTAGTGAAAATATCCAGCTTCTCTTACAAACAACATTTAGTCAAACGCTTCGCATATAAATGAAAGCAAAATCATTTATTACTGGGAACAGCCCAGAGTTGCAAAGGTTCATTCAGTTTTTGCAGAAACAAAACAGAGAGCAAATCAACATTCCAAGCACACAGTGAAAAATAATTTTTAATATGTAACAATAGATGTATGTCCTTACATTTCGGACCTGTGGCCATTTAAGGTGAACTGTAATACTCAGGTGGTTGACATTAAGATATCCTCCAAGGGAAAAAAATAATAAAATGCTATTGAAAGGCCTATTAAATGTTATTAAAAGTTTTTTGATCATTGTATGCCTAAAATAATAGCCTATAGCGCAAAAAAAAACAAAAAAACTATATAGTGTACAACTCACTGGGCTGCTTTCTTCTATAGCTCAAACTTTTCTTCTATAGCTCTACTTGATTTAAGGCACAATAAATGTGCCTTATCATAAGAATATAACTATTTGTGGCTGTAGTTCTATTTGTAATTTTAACTCATACTTTTTACATGTCCATGCATCTATCCATGCACTTCAAAAAGCCAGTCTTAATCCTGGTATTTGTTGTGGTGCTGTAGTTTTTGGATGAACTGAGGGTGAGGCTCCAGTAAATATTCAAAATAAGAGCACTAATATGGAAGACCCAAATACACGAAAAAACACCCTGAGTGGTAAAATCCACAAGTCTAACGAAGTCTAAAAAACACAAAGACATGCCAGCTGTATGGCTCTCTAGAGACTGCATGTAAACAAGAGAGATTGCATTTCCACCAGTTTGGAGTTAAATGAGTTCAGTGAGTAAAAACATAGCAAAGACTTCACCACAGTGTTGCTGTCAAGGCTCCTTGAAGACTAACATGCCTCAGCTAATAAAAACTAAAATCACATCGACTTAAAACTATGATCCTGAGGAATGTTTTTTGGGGTTGAGAGCAGCCTTTTTAGCTTCCTCAGGCAAAAGTGAGGGATCGGTCAAGATGGAGGTGCTGGTACAGAGCTGTCGTAATGTCTTGAGTACCACTGGAGGATACAGACACACACACACACACACACACACACACACAGAGAGAGAGAGAGAGAGAGTCAACATAATACACGGGTACACAATATACTACATCACAATGAACAAATAGTAACCACAATAGAACATTTCAAACAGACATGTTAGAATAACAAAAGTTTGTGCATTCAAGACCACCAATACACTAAAATTACGTATTTCAATATGTATTTCATATTATCATATTAACATGCTCTTAAGACTTTTACACTTTAAAACTATAATATAAAATACCATTCCATGTTCCAGTTAAAAATGTTTGAAAACATATGGCTTCCCATAGCAATTGCATATACATTGTAGTTTGATGTTTAGCCAAACTGACCGTTGCTGTGAAATATGGACAAAATAATCAAACTGTGATTCTTTTAATGGATACTGTGATTCTGATTTAGTTTTCTCTTATTTAAACATGCTACATTCAAAATTGTATTTCAGTGTACAAGAACACATTTCAGAATGAAATAAAGTAGTACTGTGCTTGATAAATAAAACTGTAATTTCATATCTGTAGAACAGATATGACAAATGACAAATAAATTAACTAAATTCAAATAATAAAAATATGTCTCAAGCGTTGGCACAAGTTTGTAGTATTGTATTTTGGAACTTTGACCATGTTCTAACACAGACATCTGAGATATATATATATATAAAACTAAATAACTAAAATAACTTTGGTATGCCTCTCTTCAGTTCACCATGAAGCAATTCAAATATTGCTCTCCTAGTAAACACTTTTGATTCACAAATTTTTATCAACAACACAACTACCCTCCCAAGATATTAGGCTGCTGTCACTTTAAGACCTAATGCACACTTATACATATCTGAATTAAAATAAATAAAATCATAGCCTCATTTGGTTTAAAAATTGCATATGCTGATTTTTTTCCCCGATTACCATTAATTGCACAGCCCTACTGTCCATTCAAAAAAAAAAAGTGTTCTCTTAGTTTCCAGTTGCTGACATTTAATTAAAATGAACTGGAGAACTTACTAGGTCTAAGGACTGGGAGGGCACAGTATCGATCCAGCCACTGCATGGTGGTTTCACACAGCTCTGTGTTGTTGGTGGTAGACACTGTCCCATTAAAGGACTCAAACAGAGGCTGAATAATGACGCTAAACTGAGAGAGAAGTATTAAAGAAAATAGGCTTGTGGAGGAGTCCAATAGCACACAGGAGGCTGAAGAGCAGCAAAAAAATAAATAAAAAAATCACATTGAAATAGAGTTAGTGTAAGTGTAAACACTAATTTGGGCAACTGAAAACTGCCCCTATTTGTTAAGGAAAAAAAACATGGGCAGCATTTTGGGGGCCACAGCAAACTCGCTGATGTGTTGACTGGACCCCTCACAAAAAAACATGTTATTTTTTTCAGCTGTAAAATGTGTATTTTATTATTATTATTATTACATAATAAATTTTTTTATTTTAATAAATTATGAAGAATAAACCAATACAAAATAATTATAGTAATAATGCTATTGTATTGTTACAAAACAACAATAACAATTTTATTTAAAATTAATATGCTAAATATTCATGGCTGGGTTAGGTTTTTTTAATTTTTTTATTAACGACCCAAACTTATTTTGAGCAACAAACCGTATCAGTGTACTTTGAGGTCAAAATAAATTAAGGTTGTCAATGCTTAATTTAATTAAAAAATTTATAAGTATCCTCATGGGTTGCTTAAAGGTCTCCTGAAATGCTTAGAAACACGCAGCGTTACTCTGTGTTGACGGCATTTTAACTGAAACAGGAAGACAGGGCGGGACATATCAAGCAGCCCCGCCCCTTTTTAAAATAGCCAATAGCGTTCGTTTATATCACAGCTTGGGCTAGAGCCTAGGGATGGGCGATACCACATTTTTTTCATGTGATACGATACCGATACTTTTTGTTACAATTTTAACGATACCGATAGTAATTTTAAATGTGTATGTGATTTTTCAAAATAATGTTAATTTAAATATATAAATATATACACACTGCCTTATAGATAACCTTAAGACTAACATATTGATACTAACACCCAAAAAACTTTAATTTTGATTTCATGGGGACTTTAAAGGGTGTTGACTGGACCCCTCACAAAAAAACATGTTATTTTTTTCAGCTGTAAAATGTGTATTTTATTATTATTATTATTACATAATAAATTTTTTTATTTTAATAAATTATGAAGAATAAACCAATACAAAATAATTATAGTAATAATGCTATTGTATTGTTACAAAACAACAATAACAATTTTATTTAAAATTAATATGCTAAATATTCATGGCTGGGTTAGGTTTTTTTTTATTTTTTATTAACGACCCAAACTTATTTTGAGCAACAAACCGTATCAGTGTACTTTGAGGTCAAAATAAATTAAGGTTGTCAATGCTTAATTTAATTAAAAAATTTATAAGTATCCTCATGGGTTGCTTAAAGGTCTCCTGAAATGCTTAGAAACACGCAGCGTTACTCTGTGTTGACGGCATTTTAACTGAAACAGGAAGACAGGGCGGGACATATCAAGCAGCCCCGCCCCTTTTTAAAATAGCCAGTAGCGTTCGTTTATATCACAGCTTGGGCTAGAGCCTAGGGATGGGCGATACCACATTTTTTTCATGTGATACGATACCGATACTTTTTGTTACAATTTTAACGATACCGATAGTAATTTTAAATGTGTATGTGATTTTTCAAAATAATGTTAATTTAAATATATAAATATATACACACTGCCTTATAGATAACCTTAAGACTAACATATTGATACTAACACCCAAAAAACTTTAATTTTGATTTCATGGGGACTTTAAAGGAAAATAATTTAGATCATGTAGTGCAATGGACAAAAAAGTATAACCACTGACTGATGGCTGATTCATATGCCATGTGGCTACAGAATAAATCTAATATGGATAAAGGATAAAGGATACTATCCAGAATTTCCAGTTCTGAAGAGTTCTGTTCTTTACATAGTCGTCAAACTTCTCCCTCATGTGGTCAAAGCGATGGCGTGTGATGGGAACCCCTGTATCAGGAAGCTGTTCCTGGCACAAGCTGCAATAAATAGTGGGCATCTTTAACAGTTCATCTACAGAGGTTACCTGTTTGAAATCATGTATGTTTTTTGAGCTCCCCATCACAGGTATCTGTACACTGAAATAGCCTGGCTAGGAAGCAGCAGTTTTTCCAAATGTAATACTTTAAAATAGTCAAAAAGTCTACTTTATTGCAATAAACATACCTTATAGACGTATTAAGCTCCTCAATCTCCTCTCGTAGTCTCTTGGTCTCTTCCTGCATCTGTTGTCTCTCTAGTTGCAGTTTGCCAATGTAGTCGACTGTTTTTTGAAGTGTTGCAGCATTACTAATCTGGAAACCCAGTAGTGGGTGACAAAATAAATAACTTTTGATTATTTAAAATAGTTTCTCTTATTACAATTGTGCAGCGACAACTACAAGTAAGAATCAGGTTGTGATTTCAAGAATCAAGTAAAGTAAGATGAATTCAGATTTACATTTGATTGAGACCTGAGAGTCGGCACAAGATTGCACAACGTCTTGGAGCAGGCATTTATGGTGAATCGCCTCTTCTGCTCAGCAGATATGTGATTCACTCTGCGGCTCTGTGTCAAATCACATGACAAAATTACAAAGACAGAGACAGAGTGATAAATTGGAAGATATTTGGATTTCAACATAAAAATTATGATAACCTTGCTCAGTTGGTCAGTTAAGAGAGTTGTTAGTTCCCCCTTATGTCAGTTCCAAAATATAACAGCAGTCAATGGACAAAAACAAATGTGAATTGAGTAAATATTCAATAAAATTTGTGTTCATTCAATATAAGCAATTTTATGTACACCTCATATTCCATTAATATATTGAGTTAACAATTAGGGCTGCCAAGCAATTAAAATGTTTAATCCTAATAATTATATGATGTGCCAATTAATTAATTAATTGATTGCACATCAATTTGATCTGACAAATTACCCCCAAAAGATAATTTAAAGTCATTATTGTATTAAATGAGAAAAACATTGAATAGACGCTTCAAAAGTAGCTTTAGAAATAAATACTTACATTCAACATAGAATTACACAAACTTTTAAGGCCACAATGTGGTCATAACATTGTTTTTCAGAAGCTGCATCTGAAGTGGCATTTATGTATATTTACACAGACTGTTCAGCGGTGGCATGAATGCATTTACACTGCAATTAGAATTACATAAATAATGCTATGAGAATGGGTTTTAAATGGGCATTAATGTTTTTTAATTCAATATTGAAATATGAATAAAAAAAAAAACGACTGGGAAAAAAAATGCCAGTAAATGACTGATTCAATTATTCAGTCACTCATTCAACTTATTCGTTTACATGGCTGGTTCATTCAGAAACGAAGCAAATGACTGTCTTTATGAATCGATCACTGAATTATTGACTCACTAGATTCGTTCTGTAACAAAACAGCACTTTGTGTTGCTCGGAAAAGCACAACAGTTCTGCTTTGGCTTTGTTTGGAACTATTTTTGTTGGCGAAATTGAGCAAAAACAGACAATGTTGCATCTAAAATGTAACAATATTGTATAAAACTATTTTATAAAATTAATATCACGTTTGAAATCATACTGATATTAAAGGGGTCATGATATGAGAAATCAAATTTGCCTTGATCTTTTGGCATTAAAGTGCCCCTATTATGGATTTTTGAAAAGTACCTTTCATGCAATGTGTAACATAGCTCTAACACCGTGTCTACACCGGACGCGAGCGGCGTGGCGTCACAAAATACTATAGAACTCATTATAATCAGTGATGCTGTCCACACTGGATGCGGCGCAGTGCGCCACAACACGACACGACAAATCCCTGACAGAAAAATGCTGCTGTGTTCTATTTAAGACGTATTGACACAAATTTCAAATGGTTTTCAGCGGTCGCTTTGTCGCGTCCAGTGTAGACAGACTTTAGCTGTTGCGGCGCGACAACTGTCGCGTCTGGTGTAGACACGGTGTAAGTGAATGAAAACATCCTGCAAAGTTTTAAATCTGAAAGTGCACCGTGTATAAAGTTATTGTCTCTGAAAAGAAAGCGTTGACTCCGAATCATTTAAACGAGTCGTAAAACGAATCCCAAGCCGTTTCATGTTGACGTCAACATGAAACATTAGCATATTGCCCGCCCACTTGTTGGTCTTTTCACGTTGGTCTGAATGAACATGCAAATTAATTTTTTGCCACTATGTGCCGCTTTTGGAGGTAAAACGTCTCAGGTTACTTATGTAACCATGGTTCCCAAGATTAGCATCACGCAAAGGAGGGGTTTGGAAAAATTAATCGTTTGGGAGTCGTTGAGCAAATAAGGTAAAAATAAATGCATATTATAAGACAATGAAAGCGTTTTTTGACCTTGCATGCATGTCAACCTGTTGTTGGGGACTTCCAAAACCAAAATATGAACCTTTCATTACCCATAACCATAACATCCTCCTCATTATAAACAAAGCATTTATTTAATGAAGCTCCATAAACAGCTCGTTTTGGATCTGAGGTGCAAGCTGACGTCAACCAGGCACAAACATTTGCATAAACACTGCCTACAGAGCAACGCATCAACAAATAGTCTACACTGGATACAGTCAGGGCCGTCCTTTGAGCGGTGCAACTGCTGCACCGGGCCCGCGGCAAACGGACTGAGGGGGAAGGAACGTGTTTGCGAACAGAGCTAGGGGGACCCGCTAACTACCTCACACCAGGCCCCGTGTCAGCTAAGGATGGCCCTGGATACAGTATACAGATGTGCGTTTGCTTTCTGACAGTCCACATGCTTGAGTGTGTCGTCAGGACAAATGGGTGAAAGAACGTTCACTTTTATGCGTTTGGTTTAAACAGCTCGTTCGCATCTTTGTACAGATATCAGAATGATCCCAGCGTGAGGAACAAGTGGATAGTTTATTTTTAATGGCATCCTGGGTCATGTCAGAGGATTGAGGAGTATTTTGTTTTGTAAACGAGGCACAGTGTCATGGAGAGATCACAAAGAAACATTTGTTGAAAGATAAAGCGGTACTAGATCTGACCACAGCTGCATCACAAACCGTAAGTAAATTATTTCATAATGCTTTGTCTGGAAATAACTGTTTTATTCTTGATCATGTTGTCAAAACACTCACATGCAATAGTGAGGGGGTGCTGATACTGTTTCCTATGCAATGACGTTAGCCAATCATAACAGTGGACGATTACTAAGAAGCCTTAAAGGACCCGCCCCTCAAAAACAGGTTGTTTCACACAGAGGGTCAGAATGAGGGTTGAAAATCATAATTTTTCCACATTTATTTATTTATTTTTTGTGCAAAAAACTTAATTAACATTATAAGTAAACCTCAAGGAACATTAAAAAAAAAAAAAAATTCCATGTTATGGCCCATTTAAGGAAATAACAGCACTCTTGTGATATTTCTTAACTATATCCTATGATATAAATACAAGACAAAAACATATAGGCCTACAGGGGAATTTCTGCCCACATTTCTTAAATTTTAGGGGCATATAACCGCATTATCATAGGTTACTTCACGCAGTCAGTCTGCATCGATGTAAGATGGCATACAGGTCTGGGCCAGAGTGGAATATGTTAAATGTGTTGATAATTTTAACTTGTTATTTTATTCCATAATTAATCACACAAAATGAATGCATTAAATCGACAGCCCTAGCATTATATCAGCCATTCAGTACTCTGCGATTATCATAAGCCTTTAAAAATTCATTATCAGTGGACCATTAGTTGCAATAAATATACATCAAATAAGTATTTAGATTTGCACTCTGATTTGACAGATGCAAATTAAACTTTTGCATTTCTGAATAGACTAATAAATATAGACCAATAAATTTGGAAACCATAATAGAGTGTAATATCATGAACTATTACCTGACTGGCTTCATTTTTGCCCATGCCTGCACTGGGGTTGAGAGGTGACTGGGGGCTTGGTACCTGTTCTGCTACCAATGGTGAACCTTGACCTGAGACTCGACCATCATGTACTAAAGAAAAGGAGAAAAAAAGCTTTCTCACAATCCTAGATTCAGTGAAACAAGTAAAATAAAAACAAAGCAATTTCAGCATAAATTGAAGGTGGCTGGGCTGAATCTAACCTGCACTTGCTGACTGCACTGATGTCTTGTTGTTGGATATAGTGGTGGTAGTTTCTTCTTTGGGTATGATTAGTTGCGGCGACTTCTGTGTCTGAGGGAGAATATGAAAACCAGCAGAACCCTGCAAGGCAGTGGGATTTTTTAAAAGTAATTATGCATTGCTTGGGGCAAACTGAATTATTGATCTGAATCAAACTGATCTCAAACTTATGAATGGCAGTCTATTCTTTAAAAAAATATATTATATTATTATTATTAATAATAATAATAATAATCATTGTTTATTATAATGACTGTTTAATTAATTTACACTGAAAATTTAAAGGGGTCCTATTATGCTCTTTTACAAAGTCTTGATTTTGTTTTGGGGGTGTACTAGAACAGGCTCTCATACTAGGTTGTTCGAAAAACACATTATTTTTCACATATTTTACATTATTACAACACCTCTCTCCCCAGTCTGGCATGAACGGCTCGAATAGTTCCTGTATCAAGTGAAGTCCCGCCTTCTGAAATACGAAATGTGTTGTGATTGGTTAGCTGGGCCAGTTGTGATTGGTTAGCTGGGTTAGTGTGTGTTGTGATTGGCAGCACTCGGTGCCTGGTCGGGAAATGTCATGCCCCTTACCATAGCCGTCTGCGAGCTTCAGTGTAAATATTGCGTCAAAATCAAACCAATTTGAGCGCGATTTAAACCCGGATGATTGCAACCACTTTAAGTTCGTCTGCCTTGGGAAAACTAGCTTGTCTCCGACATAGTGATAACACTCGTTGCCTTCTCTAGTGCAGCTCAACCAGGTCTCGTCCCATTCGTCGATATTTGTTATATCACAAATCCCGGAAAATATGCGTTGTAGTCCAAATGAGTCGTTCGTTGTAGTTTTTGAAAAGTGATTTCTGTTAAATAAAATATCTCCTTTTGAATTGGACTTTGAGCTTTGTAACTTCGCAGATCTTTTTTATGCTCAAACAGCAACATTACAGACTAACTAAAGTTGAAAAAGTGAAAAAGCATAATAGGACCCCTTTAATAAAATTACTAAAAGCCATTATATTCCATTTCTGTTTTCTTACGTTCAAATCTTAATTACAAGTCAGCATCCTTTTTGCTACCTCAATTCAAATGTATGAATTGGAATTTAAGTTTCTCTCAAATGAATTCTGAATGGTACACAACCCTTTTATACAAACAATTATTGCAAACAGGATAGGACATAAAGGACGAAAGGCTTACACAAGGAATACTGGAGGAGGCAATGACCATACCAGTGGTGGGGACAACATCAGAGTTGTGAGGGGACGGAGTGACAATGACAGCACTGGTGGGACCTGGGAATGGTTATGATGGGAGATGTATATGATGAGAACAAACTTCAGCAGTGACAATGCTGTCGATTTTAAGCCTTCTACAAGTTTTCTGGATGAAATTTCTGGATGACTGCCAAGCAGGTTAAAACAGTTACAATTAATCTTCATTTAAGCATTAACATTCATTTTCTTTGAAAGGAAATAAATGTAAACAGACTTTTGTGCAATTTGTGTGGATGACACTTACAGGTTAATGCAACAGCGCTCTGTACTGGTTCACGCACACAAAAAAATACAACAGATTCTGTTACTTTCACACTGCATTATAATGCATACGAAACAGAACATACACACACACACACGCCCTTAATGAACACAGTCTTTCGGTGAAAAACTGTAAAATTACAAGCATTCACTGTGATGGTTCACATTTGATTGCTTTTCATTGAAATAACTTTCTTATTTTTTTCTTATCAGTTATGTACATTAGGATTTCATGTTTCAACTTATGCTGTTAAATTAAGGTTTACTGCATTGTGTATTTACCTCAGCATGCGGAAAAGCTACTTACGGTGAACTGTGATCGCTTTGATTTTAACTGTGTTTTTATGGTGGCTGTCAGTATATTACAGGGATGCCATGGTGAGAAAATTTTGCCACTGATTAATATACTTGTGACAACAGCAGTATTGCTGCACATTTTGTCATTGACGTTAAAGGCACAATATGTAAGTTTTCGTCGCTAGGGGGCGCAAATTCAAAACAAACAAGAAACTAAGGCGTAGTTTGATGACGCCGTGACTGAGTGTGGAATCATGGGAGTTGTCGTCTTCATCCCCACAGCCGATGCAATCCTGGAGTGATTGCTAATGAAGGACGAGCGCGATACATGGCTCGATAGCAGCAGAGCTTTTATTATGCCACAGTCGACCACTTCTGCATCTTCCGGTAATGCGTATGTGGGGTAAAATAGCGCCGTTTTATACTAGATACATTTGAGTTTATTGAAAGTTCCGTTATAATGCTACTCTGTGCGTCCGTCACCTGTCTAATAAAATGCATAACATATTAAAGTGTCTTTGATTAATAAAAAAATCTTACATATTGTGCCTTTAAGGGACTGTAGAGCTTACTTTGAATACTTGAAAATGGTGGGTTAAACAAGCCACAAAAAGTATTCGTTTTAATGAAAGACACAACAACAATAAAAGAAAAAGAAAAATTCACTTGTATTAAATGTAGAAATATTGTCAAATATTGTCTAATTTATAATTGTCAGTTTATTATTGTAACATCCGTTGTCCAACTGAAGTAAATAGTTATTTCTATGAAAAAAGCAAAACAATGGGTGGTGTGATGTGAACATGTATTCAGGGGTGCAACGGATCACAAAACTCATGGTTCTGATCATATTACAGTCGGATCTTTTTTTGGATCAGCAAACAAGAAATAAATAAATGGGGACGGGGGAGTGGGGTGAAACAAATGTAACTTTGCTTTCCTCTCATTACTTAAAGAACACTGCAAGTACGTTTTTGATACAACAAAAACTACTACCCTAACTAACAAATTTAAAGCATGATTAATGGAAGGTGACCGGTCAATAATAAAACAATAATAAATACACAAACTACAAGCACAGATAAATACAATAGAACAAAGTTACAGATAACATAAGACCTAACAGTAGTATGCAGGTACAGAAATGTAATGTGTAAAATTACACTGCATAGTGTTTACTGTGTAAAATAATATAGATTAATCTTTTTTTTTGTTTGTTTAACAAATGATAGACAGCAGCAGGCATGTATAGACTGATACACATCTGATTTCTTTGTGTTTACACACACTTCACTTAAGCCATTACCGACTGTGTTTACTAGAATGCTTTTTTAGAATACTTTTGTGTCTATTCAAGCTCAAGGAGATGCGAAAGAGAGCTGAATTGTGTTCACATGAAAAACAGCGTGCAGGTACAGAATTCTTTCACCTCTTTTTGCACTTGAATGATTTAAAATTGCTTGAATGTTTAAACTGCCAAGACTTAAAAACATGTACAAATGATAAACTTTCACTCTACGATGGTTAAACTTTGCAACTAATCAAGCGAATCGCATGCATGCCAAACCATGAGGCCTGGTCCGTATGGATCATGGATCAACTGCGATCCATTACACCACAAAATGTAATTGATGTATGGAGCGAACACCAGTAACACAGACTACAGCCTAAGCCTAGTGCAGGGGTAGGCAAATTCGGTCCTAGAGAGCCGCAGTCCTGCAGAGTTCAGCTCCAACCCTGAAAAAAAAAACTCACCTGCCTATAGCCTTAGTAATCCTGAAGACATTGATTATCTTGTTCAGGTGTGTCTGATTAGGGTTGGAGCTGAACTCTGAAGGACTGCGGCTCTCTAGGACCGAACTTGCCTACCCCTGGCCTAGTGTATTATAAATTTGGTATATTAACATTTTTAGTTAATGAAATTGCTAAAATAATACAGTTTTCAACCTGTAAAACTTATATTTTCAATTTAAATCTGTAAAATTTAATGTTGCTACTAGTTCTAGCAACCACAGTTGCCCTTTTTTTTTTTTTACAGTGCAGCATCAGCATGTTACAAAATCTGCTTTGAGGAGAGACACAAACCTGTGAGTATGAGTTGAGGAGATGGCAGCGGATTGGCCGGGACAATCGGTCTCTGTGGATGTCTGGCCTTTTTCCTAGAGACAGTGGGCAGAATGGATTTGGGCAAGGCAAAGTTGACTGGCTGTGAGTTGAGTGAGGTGGAGGTTGAGGCTGCAGGCTGTGGAGATGGTGCAGCGGGCAGCTCAAAGCTTGTTCTGTGACTGAAGGTAGTGGCTGCATCAGTGGGAGTTACTGGGGAAGGGGCAGTTACGGATGGAGGAGGGATGCTTGGGACGGGCTGGGGGACTGTAGTAACTGCAGAAACACCTCCACACTGGAGAGGTTGTGGGGCTGGTGGGAGAGGAGGAGCTGGCGGTGGCAGGAGTGATGGGACGGAGGGGGTCACTTGCTCTGGGAAAAGTGGCATGTAGGTTTGTGGGTAGGATGGGCCAACAGCGTTACCATTGTCCTGGCTGGAGACTGAGAGGTGGCTGGGCAAAGGAGCAGAGGGGATGAGGCAGTAGTCCAGTGGCACAGAGGGAAGCTCTGTGGAGAGCGGCATGGATGACAGCAAAGGAGCCTAACAAACAACAGATACGAATATCAGCACACTCTGACAGAGACATCAGGCTCTTTCCTGCCTTTCTAGTGGCCATATAATTATCTGAGAAAAACAAATACTAAATCTCACAAGTAGGAATAGACAGTATAGTAAATATTTGCAATACGTTTGCTATTGTGGTAGAAGATACAATCCATTAATACACATTAACACTATAAAGCTTACTGTATCATATTTGATATGCAAATTTCAAAGGCCTCTAAATTATGATCAAATCTTTGCTGAAAAACCTGTTTTACATAATCTACTACATGTTTTCTGTCGTCTGATTGATAGTTTATACTTTTTCAGCAAGTAAAAGGTATTACAGCATAATTGTAAAAACGTCCACCTTCAGGTAGAGGTTAAAGTGTCTCCTTGCTGTGGAATTTTTACTAATTTCTAATCAATTATTTTTGTGTACATTTATAAGTTATTACATTAAGTAAATGGAAGATTAACTTTCATTTTAGGTTTACTTGATTTGTATGGATAATCAAATAAGATCAGGCTTTTGAGGAAAGTTTATTTATTCATTTCTGCTTTGATTATAAAACTAAGCAATTAAATATTATCTTGTAATATTATCTGAGTTGTATTATTGGGAGATTTTGCATGAGAACTGATATCTACATGCATTTTACTTAACTAGTCTGCTATACTGGTATAAAGATTGCATTGATTTACTTTACAGGCCATCAGAATTTTATATTACTGTTTGGCCATATAAATATCAGCAACTGCACCAAATTGCATATATTTGCTCACTCTGGGTCTCTGAATATTTTTTTCCCTCCTTGAATACGAGCTTTACATTCTCCTTTATTATACACTATAAGCCATAAAAGCGTCATGTATCAAATGTCATAAAAAACTATTTACAAACTTTTTTATTTATTTAAGTATTTTATCTAAATGTTAAATAAACTGTTCCATTAACAAAAAAGTGCCAAAGAGCATGAAAAGAGTGTGACAAAGGGTGTGAAAATATAAGCCTGTGGTGACATTTCTGCATTATGTGACACTATGTTGCTTCTTGCAACATTTTCAAAGTGAAATGCCCAGTGAATGGGGCTAAAAGCACATTCAGTTTTGTCTGAAACAGGTGAACATGGCAAACTTTCTTTTTCATTGGTTGTTGTAAATAGTGGCAGTTTGGATATGAAATGTCTGGTGAATGGCACTATAGGTCAATGCAAGGACAATGGTTAATTCTTTACAATTTAACTCACGTTTGAAAATAATGTACCATCTACCATAACTGAGTGTTAATAAATGTGAGGTAAAAACGTATTTGCTGAAGCAACCATGCCATTTTACTTTGCTTCTACAAGTGTTCAAGCTCATTTGTTGTGACTCATTTGGACTTTATCAGGTGAGCTACTGAGTAAGTTTACAATGTCAGAAAATTCACACATATTGAGCTGGTTATGTGATACAAACATCAAAAAGTGGTAAAAGTGTTTTAAAGTTTTATTACCACTAGTATACCTTTCAGCTGGACACTGCAGTAAATGTATGTACATGTACACTTTTGGAGTTTAGCAGAAATGTAGATAAAGGCATGTTTTTTCAGTGAGCCTATGTTGAATTTAATGGACTCATTAAATTTTCTAGCATTCACAGCAAAATAATTACTTGCGTTACACAAATGTTCCAAAGTTTACCCACACTTAATACTGTGTGTCAATACCTGGATGATCAATAGCTATGTTTTTGTGATAGTTATTCACGATAGTATATTTGTCCTAAGCAGTTAAACTCTGGCTCTTAATACATCATGTTGCTTTCTTAAGCATCAATAAATGTTTTAAAATGGGTTCAAATATGAAAGAAGATGCTGGAAAAACAAAGAAAGTGCAGGACCTGGAGGACTTTCTCAAGGACAGTTGTATTTTGTGTAAATTCAGTTTAGTTTATTCATAGTAAAAATTCAATTCTTTATATTGGTGTAATACCTATCAATGGTTCTTCCAACTAGAGGCTGACATTTTTTCGGGAATCCCGCGGGATGGGAAACAAAATCACGTGATTGGGACGTGACAGGAAAAAATGTCAGCGGGAGTGGGTGCCAGTAGAGCTGGGGGATATGGCGATATTATCGTATATCGATGATGTCTCGTAAGTATCGTGATGTCGATGTCAACAGTCAGGTAACAGACGATTACC